CCATCCGATGGTGACCCAGAGGATCCCGGTTGTTCATCAGCGTCCACCGACGTCTCAGACGAGGGGGCAACCCGTGGCGATGGCTCGCCGGCGGGCACTGCCACCCTCGGCCGACGCCTCTCGCTCTCCGGTGCCTCACGCAAGTCCTGGGATTCCTCATTGTCCGTCACTCGCCAACGGCTCTCAAGACGCTCTTCGAGCTCTACCCAATAATCCCCGTCCGTCCCTGTCTCCTCTCGACCCTGAACTCGTACCTTTAGGTCGAATTCATTGTGCCTGAGTTCTGCAGCCCACTGCGGGTTATTGCCGAGAGCGTTGGGCCACCACTCCCCGCAGGCCGGTTTTCCGCCAGCCTCCGTATTGGCTCGCAATTTGCGCAGGTGCGGAATGTGCAGTTGGGGGCCTGACAGTTCTGGCACGATTCTTTCGACCTACTTAGGGGGCAACCCGGGGCGTAGTGTCCTGGCTGATGACATCGGAAGCAGATGGGGCTTCCCTGCACTGGGTTAGTCTGGTTTCGGCCAGGACTTGGGCATTCCGAGATTCGATGGCCTTCTCCATTGCAGCCATAACACCTCCCCTGGAAGTTGGCCCGATCCTGCCCGGTCCTTGGGTTTTGCTGGCGCCTCGCAGCCTGCGTTGGCGCCTGCAAGGATGGGGCAGTTCGCGGATTATCACCCGCACCCCCGGTGTTCCCCCGATTCTGGTTGTTGGGGCCTTTCCGCAGTGTGGGCTGCACTGGGCTGCTCGCCGCACACTGCCCTCCCGATTCGCTACCGGATGACCGTCCGGTTGTGGCGGTGCCGGAGGTTTTCCCCTTTTTCTTCTTCTTCTTGGCCTTGGCCTTATCTGCCACAGGCACCTTCGTCGGGGTGGCCACGGCATTGGCTGCTACGTTCGCCCTCTTTCCTTTCCCCCGATAGGCGGCATCTTCCACTGGCAGGTTGTCCTTGACAGACGGAGGGTGCCATCTCTTCTCGCATTCACGATGCTTCTCTAATTTCTCGCCGTAATACTCCAGGTCGCGCAGGGTATGCACGGACTTTTCCCTGATATACCTCCCGTATTCAGGGTTGAGACCCGCTTTGGCCAATCGGACTTGTTTTCTTTCCGAGGGAGGGGGTCTCATCCTTCTGATGACGCTCTCAAATGCGGTCAGGTTGTCGCCAATGGACTCGTCTTGGGCTTGCGTTCGGCGAGCCAATACGTCATATAGTTCCTCCCTTGACAACGCTCGGCAGTAGTGCCGGCGGAAACTGTCTGCGAAATCTCGGAACGTCCGCCACGTTCCGAGTTTGTTGGCCAGCCATACCTCCGCGCGGTCCAGGAAAATCACATCCAGGGCTGGCAACACCTCGCAGTCCGGGAGTTTGTACATCCGCACGCAACGCTCAAGCTTCTCCAGGAAACGTTCCGCAGCCGAACCCAGTGCCCCGTTGAATTTTAGATTCCATGTGCGGAACGCGGTCACGGCATCGGCTCGCTTCCCGTTCAAACGTCCCCTGGATGTGCCCCGTCTGGAGTCACAAGAGCTCGACCTGGCCCGACCGCCCCGACGAGACCGGCATCGGCGACGAGAACGCGGTTCCTCAGGGTTGCTCATGGAGCTCCGAGTGCTCTCCTCACTCGATTCCGAAAAGCTCACCCGCGCTTCCCGTCACCTTCTGCCGAGTCGCCTTCCTCGGCGTAATCGCCCTCGATCCGACTCGCTAGACGACTTTGGCGACGACGCCGGAAAGTCGTGGGTTGGTGTCGGCCTGGGTCGGCGTTTCCCCCCACTTGCGCCGGAAGTGGCTATCATTCGTTCAAGTCGGTCAGCAAGGCCGCCGGAGCTCGAACGTCCGGGGGACTGTCCCCGGGTCTCCTCCTGCCCCATACCAGTCGCTGTGCGCATTGGCAGTGTCCGAGTCACCGACATGTCAAGGGGGACCCGAAGCGGTAGGGCCTCACGCGTTGTTGGGGCCTGACCCCCTGCGCCAAATCCGAACGCTTGAAGCACCAAAACTAGTTGATTCAAGACCGCTGGGTCGATCATGGCGAGACTGGGGGGCAAAACGGGATTCGGCTGTTCGGGGACTGGTTGTGCAGGACCCAAGGGTACCACACGCGGTAGTGTCGCTGCTCCCAGCCCGTCCTTCCTGTTCGCGTGCGTCGCATCCACCCGCGAATCTAGCGGACCTAACACGGAGACTTCATGTCTTCCCCCTCTTTCGGTGCCCGAAGAACTACTCGCGTCCCCCGCGTCGATCAGGGTACGATTAGCCAAGTCAAACGGCTCCGCTACCCCTGCCGCGGGGGGGGAGTGCTGGACTTTCTTTCGTCCGGAGGGATGAAGGAGGGAGGTGTCCCCTCCTCCCGACGGGTTAACGTTCACCTCCCGTGTCAAAGCCTGCTCCAACAGTGTAGCCAGGCTCTGATCGACCCCTGAGTCCCGGTCTCCTGCCTGACCGGCCTGACCTGATTCCGGTAGACGTCCCGATAGGAAATCCTCGGGAAAAAGGGGGGCATCAGTCTCTGGCCGTGCGGCCATAACGAAAGCCCGGAAAAATCGGTCCTGAAGGACGGTCGTCTCCCCCTCGGCACTCAAGCCCTCCTGGAGCATCAATTCAGTGAGTTGCTGTGGGGGCATGCGCAGAATGCGCGCACGCAGCTGCTGCAGTTCAGGCTGCCTCTTAAGGCGACGGATAAACAATTCTTGTTTACCTGGGATGGGTGGCATCGTTATCAGGCTTTGATCTCGAGGCGAAAATGCAGGTAAGCCCCGTTGGCAGTACTGCCACCACGCGACTTGAGCACCTCAACCGATGCGTTTTTCCCCTAGCCCCTGGTCTTTCGCGTTCGTAAAAGTCCAAGAATTCTCAGGCGTTTATTCGAATTTCCCAACCACAAAGCAACTCACGCCTATCCACTGGGAAACACGGCGCACACACAGCAGAAACAATTAACAACAACAATATCAGGTCGCCGCTAGTCACTCCTGAACAAACGTTCGAAAAGGCACACAAGAATACCCGATCACGCGTACGCACCGCTCATCCCCACAAGGGATGCCATGTAACGGAGAAATCCAGTCGTCCTTCAACGGATGGCTCGTGACTGTCCGTACAAATTATTTATTCGGGGATTCGGGAAGCAAAGGTCGTTCCCGCGGCTAAATAACGCGCCGAGCACACGCGTTAATCGTACGCGAACCGTTATATTCAGGATGGGAGTGACGACATAGGTGAAGAAGGAAAAAAAAAAGGGGGGCGGGAGTAGGTGTAACAACAAGCTTTAATAATAATTGTATTAATGACAAGAACAAAAGAGTAAATAAAGCCAACGCAAAATCAAACAACTAAATCAAATCAAATAATTGGCTAACAAAATATGAAATAAAGAAAATGCGAAAGAAAAAGAAATTACAAAATAATCAAGGTGAAGAAACAAAGAAATACAAATAAAGAGAAAATCATAAAATAAAACGAAACTACAAACCAAAGAAAATCGAAATACAAAAGAAAAGGTTACAATAAAAATAAACGACCCGAGATACAATAATGAACGACCTCGCAATCGGCAGGGCTGCCGAACTGCGAGGTGTTTATTCAACGCCTCGGACAGAGAGAGAGAGAGAAAGAGAAAACACCACACCGACCTTGCCTCGCGTTAACTCCGTTGTCCGCCTCGGTGCTCCTATACTCGTCTCCAAAATACTCTGCAAATACAAGCGGGATATCTAGGCGACCGCTCTCTTTGTATCCTCGTTTCTCCCTCGTCCCTTGCTGCGGTGATGTTGTCGATTATTATGTTGGTGTTGTTGTGAATGTTGCGGTTAATTACTGTTGTTGTTATTGTTGTTGTTACCGCTACGTTTATTCCTGTTGTTGTGGCTGTTGTTAATATGTTTCGGGTGTGTTCGTCTGCTGTTGTTGCGAGGAGTGTACGTGTGTGTGTATATGTGTATCGTGCCGTGCCTCGTTCCGCCCAGCTAAGCAAATCGGCGCGAGACTCACACTCACCAGCTCACCAAGATGGCCGCACGCGCGCACACGCCCGCGTCACCTCGCTGGTCGCCCACGTGCACCGGTGCCGGCTTCGCAATTTATACGAAACTTTAAACGAACACTCCGCGCACCGGGCACGTATCGCATGTAACTCAAGTCTTCGGCGAGGGCGCGGGAACTCACGGACAAAACAAGATAATTCGGAAAATTTGTGTGCGCGCGGCGGGCCGTACGACTTTCCAGCAGATACTGCCGATCTTCTCTCGTCAAGCCGGCGAGATGCGCGCGCAGGTCTGCCAGCGACTCGCCGGCTTTCCCCTATCTTCTGTCTCTCTCTCTCTCGCTACGCTCTCCTCGTTGGCTCCCTCCAATCGCCGCCGTTGCCGTCGCACCTCGAAAGAAAAGAGCAAGACAGAGTAATTAGAGTGTGCTCAACTGGCGCACTCTCCCAGCTCGGCGAGGCACACGGGGAATCGGTGAGAGCCCGGCGGAGAGCAACGGTCGAGCCGTGATTCTCCGTCACACGTTTTACAAATGAATTTTGCGATCAAAAATATGTCCAAAAACTGACCTCTTTGGTCGTTAATGGGTTAAGTGAGAGTCTGGTGTGTTCAATAATAACACTCAGTTTTTATTTCCCTGTCAGTAGTTTCTTTGCCCAACAATATTGCTCGTCCCGGCTTATGCGTTGCACGCAAGCCAAATCAGACTAACTCTGAGCTTACGCTTACTCCAAGCGTACCTGAGAATGACCCCGACGTCATCACCTAGTATTATAATATACACAGAAACTTGGAATCTACAATATGACCAAATTTTTAATATAGATGGACATAATATAAACATATAAACGTGTATTATAATAATAGTAAACTAAATAGATCAGATGATGCAATGATCTATATAAAGAATAATATCAAAGAAAATACAGAAATAATACAAATGAATAACTTGATAATAATTAACTCGAAAATAATATTACTAAACAATAAAGAATTTGTCCGCTTTTTACAGATTTCACGATATGCATCAACCTAAATTCTTGATTAGTATTAAAAATCTTTGAAAACTCAACAAAAATAAGAAAAGTAATATAATAGTTGATGATTTTAACTGTGATATACTTAGCCAAGAAATAATAGGCCATGAATTTCTACAAGTATTTCTAGAAAATGGTTATTGTCCAGGTTTTAATAGTATAACCAAACTATCCACTAATGACAACAATAAAGGTTCGTGCATTTATAATTTCTTCATTAAGCTTGACAAGGTAAATTATAATGCATATCTATTAAGCACGCTATTCAATGACCATTATTTACTGATAATGTCATTGAAGGGTATAAAAAAGAAAATACGACAACGCACAAACATTATTAAAATAAATTACCAAAAGTTAAGCAGCATAGCCAGAACTAACATTAAGGTGAAATAGAAATACAAACAGATCCAAACCAAGCTACCTCGACTCTTATAAACAACATTAAACAATGCATACAAAAAGCTGAAATGGTTAACAAAAAAAGTAATAACAACAATAATATAGAACCTAGAAAAGCATGAATAACTAAAGCACTACTAATATCATGTAAAACTAAATAAAAACTTTATAACATCTGGAAAACCGACAAAATTAATACAAAAAAAGAAAATTATAAAAATTATGTTAAAACACTTGATATAGTTATTAAAAAAGCAACAAAAACTTTTGATAAAAATGTTATCAAAGCCATAGTTTACGATCCTAGAAACCGACGGTTAATAATTAATAATAAATTAGGAAAAAACACAAAGAACGCCAAAATGAGTGTACCAACAACAATAGCAGACAAAATGAATGAAGTTTTTAGCAATATTGGAATAGAACTTAGTTGCAAAATAAACACACCACTAAACAATAACATTAAAATGACAGAAAGGCATTTAAAAAACATATTTTTGAAACTTACATATACACATGAAATAAAGGAGATCATTGCCAAAATTAAAAATAAAAGCGGTGGAATCGATGGCATTAATACGATAGTAATAAAAACAATAACTGAATTTATAACATCTCTCATAGTATACATAATAAACTTAAGCATTGAAAAAGAAGTTTGGCCAGCTGCACTGAAGAAAGCAGACATAATACCTATACACAAAACCAAAGAAAAATCTTTACCTAATAATTATAGGCCAAGATCGCTCATCTCTAAGATAGTAAAAATTTTCGAAAAAATGATCTACAAAAGAATTTTAAGCTTTATTGAAGATTGCGACTAATATCAAGTAAACAATTAAGCTTCCAAAAGAACAAAAGTACTAAAAATGCATTAAATTATGAAACAAATATTATTTACAAACAACTCGATTAAAGTGATCCGATTGCTATTACTTTTCTCGATCTTGTCAAAGCTTTTGACACAGTAGACCATATAATTTTACTTAAAAAATTATTTAATTATGGTTTTAGAGGCAAATCTCATAGTCTAATAAAAAATTATTTAACAGTGTAACAGGCTACCGTTTAGTCGCAAATCCCAGGCAATTATAATTACCGTAACGGCCAACCGGTGCTCTGCTAACTGTGTGCTTCGAGCACGCTAACTCACCTTACGCCGGTGTGCCCATGCGCGGAGTCCTCGTAGCAATCCAACTTCGATGTTCGAGCTATCCGTTAGAGGCGCTGGTGCGCTTGCTTACCAGCGCTCCGTCGGCCGCAGCAGACAAATCGATTGACGAACAGCTCTGTCTATTGTATTCGCGACCTATGTTGAATTCTCGGCGCGTTCGAATCAAAACGTAAATATAAACACCGACACCGGGCAAGGTGAGACGAAATAATAAGATCGTCTCTTATTATTAGTGAACCACTTTATTCGACTAGGTAAATCCTATACACGGGATGATTTGCCGAGAGTCTTGGACGCACGCCATATATACAAAATAAATCTAACGGGGAGAGAGAGAGTTAATTTCGCGGACGTCGCGGATTATCGCACGCACTACGATGTCTACAAAATTCACCGCGCACGCTGCGCGGAATCGCATGCAAAACAAACTCAAAAGTGCAGCGCACTTACCGCAGAGCTGATTAGGATATGGTGGCCAACCGTATCCACTAACAAACACGATGAGCTGCTGCTGCAACCTGCTCTTGCTGTTGTTGCTGGGCTGCGCTGCGGATGCTGCTGCAAAGGTGTTACTGCAGTCTTTGTTGCTACGCACGAGGTGCAAGGCTCACACTCACTCACACACTCGGCACAGAATATCTCCAAAATAGCTCCTGTAATCTGCTATGAAATAATTGGTGAAGGACACGACGTAGCAAGTCTGACGAACACTGCTATACTGACTCGCTAGCTCTCCCCTCCCGGTCGTTGCCCCTAACGCGCGCTCTCTCTCTCTCTCTCTAACCTAAGCCGATCACGGCTATTACGCTTAGCCACGCTTGACGGTCCGCGCGAAGCATAACGATTTTCGGCAATCGTTGCAGCCCCCTCCTAGATTCGAATTACCGGGCCGAATTATTACACCGACTCGCGATCTTAAGGACAGGAGAAGGACCGGGAGAAATCACCACGCGTCACTCTTTCAAAAAAAACATTTTATTGCCCCACCCGGGCCACTATACATCCGGAGTCACCGGTCGGCGCCCCCTGGCCCCTTGCTGCGGGGATAGCGCCAATGTGCCCCCTTATTCGAGCACTTTGATGTGGTGGTGATCCCGGGGTGGCCGCAGATGTAACAGCCCCTCCGCTGCGACCGGGAGGAACCGGGCGTCGACCCTGGTCCTTGATTCCCCGCAGAAGGAGGTGGCTGTGGGGTCGTGGTTCCTGGGGCGGCGGTAAATGTCACGCCGCCCACCGTGGCAGAGGTGCGTCCACCGTGTGTCCGCACCACCACGGTAGGGTCGGAAACCTTCGACCCGTCCACGTGGACAGTGAACTCCTGTCCGGCGCCGGGGGCCCCCGAGGCTCTCTTGGGCTGAGCCTGCACCGGGGGCTTGGCAGGAGTCATGGTCGCGGCCTTGCCTCCCGGCACCGTCGGCTGTACTGCTGCCGGCGGGTCCGCGACCTCTGGGGACTCCTGCCCCCGATCCACACGCAGCAGGGCCTCTCCATAGGCCTTCTGCCGCCGGACCACCGTCCGAGTCCACTCCACGAGCAACTCCCGGGCTCCCTGGAAGTCGAGGAACTGGTCCAGCTGCGTATGCACCTGGCGCTGAAGTTCCCCAACGAACTCCCAGGCATTTTCCAGCTCCTGGAGGCCCAACCTCACATGCCTCCAGGAGTTCTCGAGCCCCTGTTGCTCGGGAACGCGGGGGTGGTTGCAGACCCACTGTTCCGGGCCATAGGCCTCGCTTGGCCTGGGGCACTGGGTCGAGCTGTCGGCCACCTCTGGTTTGCTCGACCCCGGGGTCTGCACCCCCTGGTCCACGGTGGATGGAGACCGACGGCTCTCTTCAAACGGGCCGTCGGTCTGGGTGGACGCCTCCCGGGTTGGCGCTTTCCTTGGCGGCGCCCTCAACCCCTCTCGGGGAAGTCGTCCACCCGCTGGCGTGGGCGATCCTCTCGGGTGGCCACCTCTACCTGGGCCCGGACGAAACTCCTTACTTCGCCGATCAGCCGATCGGTATCCGGACCCAGCTTCAGATCGAGGAGCATTCGGGTGACCACCTCGAAAGCCTCCTCCCAATCACCAGTTTCCTCTCCATCTGTAAAAGAGAAGAGTGTGATCAAGGGATGTCTCAGGTTTGCCCTTAACCTAACCGGCGTTATGTCACGCTTGACCCTACGCTTTACGAGGACGTCCCGGTCCCCCGCGCTTCACTCGCGCGTTTGGCTCATTTGCGAGGGGAATTGGCAGGACAGTCTTTCGCACGTGCTTGATGGTTTTACGGGGCCTGCCCCTTCCTTTTGGTTTCTCGCCATCCGGGTCACTGCTACCCAACGCCTGGGGCTCACTCACGGGGTTCTCGCGTGGTCTACCGCGGCCTCGCTTGGCCGGCGCCTCGGTCAGCGTCTTTGGAGCCGCCACGGACTTGTCGCACGCGTTCGCGGGGGCTGCTGTCACGGCGCGCTCGCATAGAGGATCCCCGCTGGGACCCTCGACCTTCGCGGGCGGGCTGCCTGTGCCCTCCTCTTCATCCAGCGGTGTTGAGTCCCCATGTTCCGGCTCCTCATCGTCTTGGTCCGAGAATGAACCGAAATAGGGCTTGAGGTCCTTGGCGTGGACCAGCTCGGGCAATACCTCCTGCTGGTTACCGAGGAGGTAGGTATTGGTCCCACATACCTCCTCGATAATATACAGGCCAGCATACTTCGGCGCCAACTTCGTCGATACGCCCTGAGCTGCGGAAGACAGTATACGTTTCCGTTTCCACACCCAGTCCCCAACCCTAAAGTCGGCCTGAAGTCTCCTCTTGTTGTAATAGACCGCCTGACGATCTGCCTCCTCCCTGGACTTGGAGCCAGCGCGTTCCCATAAATTGGGTAACAGGCGCATATGCTCACCCCATTCTGTTAATTCTTGGCCCTCAAAAGCTTCTCGGGCTAGCTGATCCTGGGCCCTTCTAAAGGTCGAGGGAGGAGTGGGTTGTCGTCCGAAAACGAGCATAGCCGGGCTATAGCCTGTCGCGCTATGAGTTGCCGAGTTCAACGCGAAGTTGAACTCTGGCAGGTGCTCGTCCCAGCTCTTATGGTCTCGCTCCACGTATGACATGAGCATGGTCTTGAGGGTTTTGTTCACTCGCTCCGTAGGGTTGGCCTGTGGGTGGTATACTGGAGTGAGTGCGCGCCGGATGCCGTTCCTCAGCAAGTAGGTATCGATATCCTGATTCTTATATTCGGTTCGGTTGTTTGAAAGGAATATCTCGGGCGCGCCAAACCTGGTTACCACCCTCTCGTGCAATTCCCGCACAATGGTCCTTCTATTGGCCTTGCGTATGGGTACGCACTCAACCCACCGAGTGAACAGGTCTAAGAAGACCAAGATGTACTCAAACCCACTCCAGCTCTTTAGGAATGGGCCAGTAATATCACTGGCCACCACCTGCCAGGGTCGCGAGACCTCTCGACGACCCATTACCCCGCAAGACGGCCTTTGTTCCGCCTTGCATTGTTGACAAACCGGGCAACTCCTCACGTACTCTCTGACCTGCTCATACATCTTAGGCCAGAAATACAGGCGCCTAGCCCTGGAGAACGTCCGTTCTCTCCTCTGATGTCCCGCTGCTGGCACATCATGT